TGAGGGCATCTTGGAGGCCTCTGGGGCCGTCGTGGGAACATCTTGGGCGCCCTGTAGCGATCGCTCGGCGACTCGGGGCCCTCTCGGCCCATGTCGGGGCCCTCCTGGGCGAGGGGGCCGCCCTGGAGTGAGCTGGAGCTCCGATCCCCGGGAATTCAATGGACCCCCCCCCCCCCCCTACCCCGGCAGGGCCGCCCCGGCACCCACCCCCAAGTAGAGCTGAAGCTCAGGAATTGAGGATCAGGCTGTTCTGGGGGGTTCTGAATCTCACGCGCCGGATCGGCTGATTTTTTCTAGCGAGTCGCTCGAACCCAAAAGCATACAGAATCACGCGAATTGCTTGTCGGATCGGGGGTTTGCTCATGGCGAACGGCACACGCGGCGGCATGAAAACACGCGGCGTCGCACTGCGCCCTGTAGATGCCCACGCGCACCTTCGAGCGCCATGTGCCGAGCTCATCTCCCGCCGCCGCCGCGCGACCCTGGGGGCGACATCTCGGGCGGCGAGAGATGGCCAAGATGCCCGCTGCCCAAGACGAGGCAATCGCTTTCCAACCACTATTCGGCCGCACCCGCAGCTGGATGACCTGGGCCCCGCGCCACATATATAAACGACGTCATAGAAACTTGCCGCGCAAATTCCCGGCCACATGTGGAAGTCCGGCCACCGATCGAAAACGCGACGCATCATGCTTCCAACGCCATCAGTTACCGAGTTCGCTTTATCGAAAAGGGCCTGCCGAAGGCCAGCGCGAGGGGGCAGCTGGGCGAAGCGTTTGCTGGCGCAGACAACTTGCAGTGCGCCGTCAGCGAGACTAGCTCGGCGATCTGGCACGCGATCCGATGGCGCGACCCACATGTCGGCCGCATCGGTAATATTAGTTCACGCACGACAGCATTAACAGTCGATGGTCGATCGATTCAATCCATTGGTGGGGCGCCGCCAAAGATGTTTCGCAATCAATTCAAGAATTGCTTGGCGTTTGGAGCGCGCGGCGCCGTTGGTCGCATTCATATTGCCACGCACAGAGATTGGCGCCGCCATTACAAACGGGCTGCGCTCACGGACAGCTCCCTAATCGAAGGGTCTGCATCTACGAGGGCCAGCGGGCCCCGCGCGGCATGGCATTGGACACTGTCAGCAAAGCGGTGGAAACGACGTTGCGGGGCATCGAGGACATCTCTGCCCTGGGCCCTAAAACTTTGGATTTTTGTCGATTCCGCACGGCGAACCGCTATGAGATGTCGGCGGCGCCGTCGCAACGTTTCTCCACGCTTGCGCGACAGAGTTCCAAGCGCGGTTGCTCGCCACCGAAATCATGCCCCCTCCCCCCCGCAGTGGAAAAACTTGCCCGCCGAGGCCGTTCGCCACGCAGGCGCAGCGGTCGCCGCAGGCGTCGCGGCGTTTGTAGACGCGGAAGGAAGGCAAGAAAGAGGAGGAGGGGGAGGAGAAGGAGGAGGAGGAGGAGGCAGGGAGGGAGGAGGGGGAGCATCCACACAGTCAACGTTTATTTGGTTATTTTGTGTGTTTTCATCGGCTGCGCATGCCGATCGAGAGATGGCGGAGAGCAGGATGCTGCTCAAAATCTCAGATGGCGTTCCCTCCAACAAGAAGATGCCGGGTGTTTTGGGCGCCGGAGGGCGAGAAGGCGGAGGCAGGGGAAGGACCGGCCCAAAAAAAAGGGAGGAGGAAGACGACGACGACGACGAGGAGGAGGGGGCGTCTACACGCCCAAAGTCTTTGCACGTTCCACGCATTATTCGACCGCGAAGCGCCACGGCCCGAGCAAACGATGGCGGGTGACAGAAAGCTGCTCAAAATCTAGCAACAGACCCCTTTCAACATGGAAGTTGTTGAGTTGTGGGGCTTTCTTCCATTATTGACTGTTTGTTTGCGACCAGCAGACCTACGGAAGGCTTTAATTGTTCATTGCTCAGCGCAACCAACCAAACTCGAATCGGCACTTGGCTCAAGCTGCGACGAGACACCCAGCTAAGCCAAGTGCTTGCCCCAGCGCTAGCTGACGCCAGAGATGGCGGTTGGAAAATAATTGAGGCGCAGGCACAGAAGCAAAAGCGTACGATTGCGAAGTTGAACGACCACAATCAGACCGGCCAGAAAGCGCACGCGAGCGGATCATATATTAAATTGTACAAGTATTGGCGTTCAATGCGGGGAAACACCTGACAAAGGCGCACGGGGGCGCAACGTACGTTTGGAAATTTGACGCACCAATACACACACACATTTTGACGCGGCGCGTGTAATTGTTTCGCGCGTTTAAACCGCAACGGCCGCGTGTGCTTGGCCACCAATGGTGACAAAACGGGTGGCAACAGATGGCGACGCAGCGGATGCTACTAAACAACAGTAGTGGACCATTCGTTCTGTGAGTTGGGTATTAGAGAATCGTTAGGCGCATGTTAAACATGCATGTTAAACATGAAAGTTGTGGCCGTTGCTTTACCGAGACGCCGTCGGCTGTTCTTTAAGGTGGCCGTTCGCCATCACCTAGTACCATCTGTTTTCAAACCATGCAAAACAAACAAAAGTAAACCGCCAGCTATCGCGCGCGCGTACTCGAGCCAAAACATCAGCCGCCGGGGCCGATAGCCATCCCGCCGCTTCTGCGGCGCTCATAGCGGCAGCGGTTATCACAAGATTGCGGCACTTGCGGTTGCAAGACAACGTGGAAGATTACTGACACATGGAATGTTCGCCACTTGCCAGATAACCCCCCATGGCCTTTCACCACAACAATCCTCATGGAATCCGCCACACGGGAAAACGTTGCGTATTCCGCCACAAAGGAGTATTTTCATATTCCGCCACCAACGGAATCCCACTGTATTCCGCCACGCAAGGAATTCTTCGGCATTCCGCTGAAAAGGGCAATCCTCATGCACTCCGCCCTAGAAGGATCCTCTTGTATTCCGCCACAGAAGAGTTACTCTATAATCCGCCTCGAAGGGAATTGTTGTGTAACCCGCCACACATACAATCATGTTGTACTTCGCCACAAACGTGTTTGTTTGTATTCCGCCTCAGAAGGAATGCCTCTGTATTCCGCCACAACAAGAATTCCGTTGTATTCCGCCACCAAAGGGAATTTTTGCTGTATTCCGCCGCAAACAAAATCGAATTAAAATTGCTAGAATGTTGGAACCGGTGGAATGTTGGAATCAAATTAGAACGGGTCGTCCTTGCGCTGCAATTAATTTTGTCGAGCTCCAGAATTTTAGGTTGCCATGCACGGGCACAGTTTCCACAGCTGTTCGGTTAATGCTTCTCCAATGTATGGCACGGGGGCATTATGAGAACATTCAGGGACACCTTGCGTTTTTTCATGATAGTTATACAACAGAATGATTATCAGGTTGTTGGGGAATGCTTCGACAAATCTATGGCATTTGTGCCTGCGCATGGGAAACCATTGTTTAAAGCAAAGACCGAAAGGCTGCGCAAACACAAGCGAAACCAATGCTCCTACCAGAAAATAGTTTTTAAAGTTGTGAACACATATGTTTCTTACAACCAATTCAATCGGATTCCTCTTTGTGGCCGAATACAAAAGAGATTCCTTCTGTGGCAGAATGGAAAAGGATTTCCTTTGCGGCGGAATTTAACAAAAATGATTCTCTGTCTGGCGGAATACAAAACGGATTTCCTGTGTGGCGGAATACGAAAGGGCTATTTTGCGGCAAAATACAAACGGAAATCTTTTTGTTGCCGAATACAAAAGGATTCTCTGTGTGGCGGAATATACATGGATCCCTTTCCTGGCGGAATACAAAAGATGTCCTGTGTGTCGGAATACAAAAGAAGTGCCGGATTACCAAAGATTGTCTTGCGTGGTTGAATACAACATGATATGTCTTTGGTTGCGAAATAGAAAGGCTTGCTATTACAAGTACATGCACAGGAAAGGTGCCAAAACAATCGCCTAGTTGTTTTGGGCAGTCCCTATGATGTGTGTATACATACACACATGTACATACATACTTACTTACAATATGCATACACATGCAGATGCATATGCATCTACATAAACATAAACATAGAAGTACGCACATACGTATAGGTATACACACATTTGAATATATATATATATATATATATATATAACATGTATACAACTATACAGACATATACATTCACAAGGACATGCACCTGTGCATAAGCATAGTCATATTCATACACGTATGCATATATATATATATATATGTATAGATATATGCATATGTAGAGAAAGAGAGCGAAAGAACTCTAAGTTTCCGCGGGCCTCCGAATCGCTGGCGTGGTGTTTTTTGTCAGGGTTGGCGCGCCTCCGATGGCCTCCCAGGGCCTCTCTGACTGCCGCATGACGGTCGCATGGTGTTTTTGTGTCACGGATGGCGGACTTCTAGATTTCGGAGGCTGGCTTCCGAGGACCCTGTCATCGTCGTCGCATGACGGTTGCATTGTATTTCGTTATCAGGGGTGGTGGGTTTCCAGAGGCCTCTTGATTGTCGCCTCATGCTGGTTGCGTGGTATTTGTTGCCAGGGATGGCGGGTCTTTGGATTTCGGGAACTGGCCTCCGAGTGTTTCTTGATCTTCGCCACATGACGGCCGCATTATTATTCCTGTCATTCGTGAAGCGCGCGAGCACGGCTTTAGGAACACAGTGGAGGACAATGCGAGCGTGCAGCCGTGGCGCATGTAGGAGGCCTTCTTGCGTGAGACCGCGGTCCCGTGGATCCGCTTGCCGCTAACGTCGACGACGCCCAACAAGCATTCGTTGGAGACCAAGGATCAGTACACCAGCAGGTTCAAAAGGATCGTGGACCACATAAATGCGAATTTAAACGTAGAGGGTTCACACAAGCGCCTGAGTGAATAGATCTTGCAAATGAATAAAACCATGGGCGGCCACATGCCCAACTGAGCGGTTGAAACCGCCATGTCGCGATCATCGGAAGCCCGAGAAAAATTCAAGTTCGATTTACCCCGGTGTGTAAGGTCCTGCGGGAGCTGCTGGGCGCACGCCTCTCGGCTGACCATGCAGGCCCGGGCAGAGGTCAGGGGGCTGAAGCACATTTCGAGGAAGAAAAATTTGCATAAGCATCAACATGCATCTGAGGTCCGCGCGGATTTCCTGGATTGGCGGTCAGTCCCCTTGGCAGCGCCTCCGGCGTCGCCCTTAGCGCGTTCCGCGGGGTCCAACGCCAATCCATTCAATCCGCCCAGAACTCTGGAAGTTGTTGTTCGTGTCGCCTTTTGATCTTCTAGGTCAAGGGGTTGAAGCACGTCGGATGGTCTGCCAGCCAGCTCGTCGCGTGCACACCGAACCCACACAACTGCGGCGGCCAGGGCGGCTGCCAGGGGGCCACAGCGGAGCTCGCGTACGAGTACGTGCTGAACAAGGGCCTGCTGCCTGACGACGAGTACCTCGACTTGACCGGGGAGGACAATCAGTTCGAGTGCCCCAGCTCATTGAAGGTGTCATCCGAGGTCGCCACAAGGGGCATCGTCGGCGCTGACGGCAGCGAAGAGCACCGCGCAAAGGCAAAGATGGCCGGGCGCGCCCTTGGCCTCACCGGGTGGACGAAGTTGCCCGAGAACAAAGAGGACGCGATCGTGCGGGAGTTGATGACCAACGGCCCCTTGTACGTCGCAGTGGCCGCCGGCGACGGTTGGTTCGACTACAGCACTGGCGTCATGACGGAGGCCTCGTGCGACAGGGACAACACCCTGAACCACGCAGTGGTTCTCTTCGCTTGGGGCGTTAAGGCGAAGACCGTGCGCGGCCCGGTCAAGTATTGGCAGATCAAGAACTCTTGGGGTCCGCAATGGGGAGAGAGCGGCACTGGCCGCTTCCTCCGGACGGACAACGAGGAGAAGGTGCTGGCGGCACGCCAAAAACATCAGAGCGTGAATTACCTACCCCGCTTTCGCTTCCAGGCAAAAGCAAGCCAGACCACGCGCCTCCTCGTCAAGCGGCCTGGCCAGTACAGGTTGCAATTTGGCATCGTTTGGTATCTCTTGGAAGCGAGGGTGGTCAAAAGCGAGGCAGGTTTGTTTTCCCCCCAAAACAGTGCTGCAAGGGGGGGGGGGTCCTTCCGCGAGGGCGGCAGTGCTGTCAGGAGGGCTCGGAGGCTTCTGTCGGGCGAGGGCCCGTCGAGACAACGGCGGTCCTCCAGAGGACGAGGGAGGAGGAGGAGGAGGAAGAGGAGGAGGAGGAGGAGGAAGAGGACGAGGGAGGAGGAGGAGGAGGAGGAGGAGGAGGAGGAGGAGGAGGAGGAGGAGGTCCTCCGTGATGCTCCTCGGCCTGGCTGTGCCTCCCGGAGGCCCCTCGTCGCCACGAGCGGAGATATGTTGGCCCGGGCGGGAGCGCCGCCGCACACCGCGCACTCGGCTGCCTCTTCTCTCCGAGTGCGCCAGGGGCCCCCCTGGAAGGTCGGAGGGCCTCTAGGAGGTCACTCAGGAGGGGAAAAAACACACAGACACAATTAATCCTCGATTCCCACGAAAATATGGGAAGATATGGGAATTGGGGGGGGAAGACAGAAACCCAGAAAATATAGGAAAATATGGGGAATAATGTTATTTGTGTGTATTTATTTGTGTGTCCTGGGGCCCCTTCAGAGTGCGCCAAGGCCCCCTGGAAGGCCGGAGGGCCTCTAGGAGGTCACGTACCCTCCCAGGGCCCGACCGACCCGCTTCGATATGTACCGATGCTGGCCGGCCCGATCCGACTCGCCTCCGGCGTTCCCTCGATGAGATGCGGCCCGACGCCTGCAGGGCGCTGTCCTGCGTCCTGGCGTGGCCGACCCGATTCGAGCCCGGCTACGTGCCGGTGCGGCCCTGTCCGCGTTTCGAGCAGTGGCGAAGCGTCTCGGTTCGCCTATAGGCCCACCAGAGAGTGTTCTAAGAATCTTTCGTGGTTTGCACGAAGTGTTCTTAGAACATGTATGGCTGAGACGGTCTAGCTGTATCACATCTGGCTTATGTTATGAGAACATGTGTTTTGTTGTTGGAGCATGTCTTGGTTCCAAGAACATGTCGCGGCAGGCCTATAGGAATGCCGGGACGGATGGCCCATGGTCGAGAATGATGCCCCGATGCGGCTCGAGCTCCCGAGCCGATGCCGGTTGCTCCTGCCCCCCTGCGCGCGCGCCGCCGCAGGTGTGCGGTTGGGACGAGGACCCCCAGGCGGGCTCGGGCTGCGACGGCGGCCCCTCGAGGGTGTGGGTCTGCGGCACCTGCGGCGTCCTCTACGACGCCGTGGCGCCGCATTTCTGAGGGCCGCCGCCGGGGGACCAGCGCCGGGCCTCGACCTCCTCGTCGAGGTGGTTGCGTCCTCTTCCGCCTCGCCACCTCTCACGCGACCTCCTCCTCCTCCTCGTCCTCGTCTTCCTCCTCGTCCTCCTCCCCCTCCGCTCCGACGCGGTGGCATCCAGAAGCGCAAGGGCCAGGGCCATGCTGGCGCTGATCCTCCTAGTGGACGTGGGGATCGCTGAAAGACTCCGCCGCCCCATGACGAGTCCGCGCTCGACTCCTTCGCCACCATGGCCTATGTCCAGTCCCTCAGGGACAAGCTCGACTCCATGGAGGCCGCCATCAGGGACACCATCAATGCATCAGTCTCCTCAGCGATGGGTACGGCCACGGGCCCCATCTCAGCTGCACTCGCTGCAGCCCCAGGTGGCATCAACGGCATATCGGGCAAGATCGAGCAGAAGTGGGCCTCGCCGTGGGCCAGCAGATCGACGCCACCCGCAAGTTATTCCAGCAACAATTTGACGCGTTCACCCAGCGGATGGGTGATATCGAGAGCCGCCAAGACCAAGCTGACAAGGCCATCTCCCAAATGTCCGAACAGATCGCGACGTTGCAGAAAGCGCTCGAAGTGGCCAACAAGCAACCAGTGCAGGAGACATCCGTGGGCCGCGACTTCGACAGAGATGTGGACCTCACTATAGTCAAAGTGCATGCGGACGGCCTGGTCACCCTCGACAAAGCCACAGAAGCGCTCACCAAGTGGATCACCGACTGTGGCATCGAGGAATCGCACTTCAAGGTACAGGGCCAGGACACCTCCAGGTAATTCACGATCCAATTCACGGGCCTGCCTGAGCCCGCCTCCCACAGAGTTCAGAAAGCATTGGACAGTCTTCGGAATCGTGACGGCAGTTGGTCCCGCATCCGCGCCCCAGCTATTGCAGGCAACGGGTCTGTCGAGCTGCGGGTGTGGCCAGAGAAGTCTCCGAAGCCAATCAAGACAGATATCGTCGGCAATCGCATTCGGCAGGCCCTGGAACGGGCCTTCCCTACCCACACATGGAGAGTTGACCGCGCCAAGGGCTGGATCTCGGCCAACTGATCCCCCGCGCTCTCCTACACAGTACATCCTCGACGTGATGAAGCTACGACGATTGCCACCCAGGACACGGGCCTTCCCACCTTGGGCATCACCCGAGCGCAGATCAAGGACGCCATCAATGATGTGGTCACGCCCGAGGCTGCTCCTCAGTTTTGGCTTTGCCAAGATCGCCAAGGGGCTGAAGCGGGCGCCTTGCGGTCCGTCTCCGAGTCTGGTTGTTGGCACTTGGAACGCACGGGCCCTCAACGACCAAAGACGCCGAGCGGTTGAGAAGTATTCCTACCTGCGCTCCCTCCCCCTCGACAAGATGATCCTGGGCATCCAAGAGGTCCACCAGTACCCCACCCAGCTTCTCGCTTTCACGCGGAAGATCAGCACCAAGCTCTGTCGGGTCAGCGACCACGCCGCACTTCTCGTCTGACCTCAAAGCTGAGAAGAACCAGCCGATTGCCCAGTACCTCCAGAGCACGGAACCCCCACGAGAAGTCGCCCGTGCCGCGCGAGACCGCACTCACGAGGAAAATTCTGGGCAAGGGGATGCCCGGCTCCAGCTGGCCAAATCGACCGACCGCGCGGCCTGGAGGCAGGATCGCAAGCTGGCAGCCAGACCCCCCCGCGCCCATGCTAAAGCTCAAGATATCCTCGACATCAGCAATGACCAGATCAAGCTCACGGACCCCGCCTCCTTCGAGGAGTGGGCCAGTGCCCTCTTCCGCCAAGATGCGGATCAACGACAAGCCGCCATTGATCTGTCTCGACAGCGAGGGCGCCTTCCCCACGCCCAAGCCCGCGCCCAGCCCCAAGCCCTGCACCGCAAGATCCAGCTCTGGAACCCGATAAGCAAACGCCTGGTGCTCATTGGTGTGAAGACAACTACTGGAACAGTGACGGGACCGACTGAGAGACTGCAGAAGTTGATGGAGCATTGGCAACCCGTCTTCCATGGCAAGACTGCGGACACTGCGGCGGCGGAGATCTACCTCAAACGATGCGCGCCCAAGATCGACTTCAACAGCTACAGGCCCCCCGACTACGACACGCTCAGGAGGTTCGCGCGCAGATCTTCATCCACCTCCCCCGGCATGGACGGGCCCCCCATGCACCGCCCTGTCCGCGCATGAGAAGTGCACCGAGACCCCCTGGCAGGTCATGACCCGGATGCTCGGCGGCGGCCTCCTCCCGACGAAGCAAACGCGACGGTCCAGGCATGCTTTCCCGAAGGGGGGGAACTTGACGACGCTGAGCACATCGGCCGCCACCGTGACCCGCCCAAAGTTCGTGTCCTTGGGCTTCGGAACACCTCTCAAGATCATCAGCAGCACCACGAACGCTGCGATGGCCGCGGTGGCCGCTGACGCGGTACCAGCATCGAAGCGCGGTTTCATCCACCGCCGCAACTTCGGCTACAATATCCTCGAGCTGGACGTCGAGAGCCGCAGCGCGTCCGCCGACCCCGACGCCATGGCCAAGTTGCCCGTGCCGGCGTCGCTGGACATCGCGCGGGCCTTCCCGAGCTTCGCCCACCAGTTCACCCGCCTCGCGCCGAAGGCCATGGGGGCGCCCGTGGCTGCGCTGAACGTCTTCGGCTCGATGTACCACAACATCCTCGCTATGGCCCCGTGCGCGGGCTCATATGTCCCGCTCTTCTACATCCGCTCGGGCACCATCCAGGGCTGCGGGTGGAGCGGCACTCTCTACGCGATGGGCGCCGCCTGCTTCCTCCGCGACCTGGAGCAGCAGCTCGAGCTCAAGGGCTACGGGCTGCGCCGCGCCTGCGCCGATGACTTCGGGCTGGCGCTGGCGGTGGTCGCCCACCTCACGCACCTGGAGGGGGTGATGGCCCTCGTGGAAGACCTGGCGGGCCTCGCGCTGAAGCCTGCCAAGTGCCGCATCATCCCGCTTGCGGGTCCTGTCGATGACGAGCTCGCGAGCGAGCTGCGCGACGCCCTGGTCGCGATCGCCCCACGCGTCCAGAAGTTCAACCCTTGCGACAACCTGGCCTACCTCGGTCTTCTCCTGGGGCCTGGAGCGCCCGAGAACCTGATCTGCGCGAAGGCCTCCCAGAAGTTCCGCTGGCGCACCAGGATGCACAGCGCCAGCGACGCGCCATCGATGGGCTCAGCCTAGTTACTCAATAGCCGCGCCCCCCCTGTCCTCAGATACATAGCCCAGCGCGCGCCGCTGCCCCACGAGTCCTTCAAACTTGAGAACTGGGCCAATGCATCAGCCCCAAGGTCCCCCAACGGCGCGTTCAGGGCCATGGACTGGCCGAGGCTACGGGACTGGGGCGCGCACGCGCCGCGGCCCACGCAGCTCACGACGATTGCCGCGATCGTCCGCGCCGCAACGCCCACCTTCCACAAGTCCCCCGAGAGCCGCAAACGCCTCCACCAGGGATTGATTGTACCAGTGCGGAGATGACCAGACCTTGCTGGGCGTTGCTCGCGCTGCACAGCATCTTTCCCCGCCCCGGTGGAAGACGCCGCCCTTCGTCGAGACGTTCCACCTGATCGTGCCCGCGGAGACGGACCACCGCTACTACCCGTCCGCGCTGCTTGCCCCTGCCCTCGAGGCCGCGAGGGCGTCTCTCTCGCAGCAGGCAAGCCAGACCGCGTCCAGCGGATGGCACATGCTGCTGCGAGGAGTGCACTGGGCGCGGACGAGATCGGCACGTTCCTCGCGAAGAGGCCCATGATGGAGCTACCCGACCTCGTGAACGCCTGCGAGAACGACTTCGAGGTGTTCGACAGGGTGAAGATTGCGATGAAAAAGCTGCCGCCGTCGTGGGCCGCAGCATGGATGCGGACTCTCTCTTTCTCGTGGCTGACCTCAAGCAGGATCATCTACGAGCGCCGGCGCAGGCAGTGCATCTTCCAGTGCACCGTCGGCGCCGACTCCGACAAGCGCTACCTGACGCGCGCCCCACTGGCTGCTGTCGTCGCGGCGGCGACCCGTGCCACCGCCCAAACCGAGGTCGTGGCGAACCTCGCGCTGCTGGACACAAGCATTGAGAACATCGAGCGGGTGGTCATCGCCTGCGGCACCTACCACATGCTCCGAATGGAGAACAGCGTCGACGCGGAGACCCTGCGCTCTGCGGCGCGGGCGGCACTGCGCGCATCGCGGACGATGCGCTGCCCGCCTCGGGTGCAGCGTGCTCTTCTCCCCCGTGCTGGTGGAGTCCTCGGAGCTGCTGTGCACGTACCACTTCAAGTACACGTACCTGGTGCGCCCGCCCCTTTGAGCAGGGGCTAGGAGCGGCGGCCGCGGCGCGGCTGCGCGCGGGGGCGCGCGGCAGGCGCCGGCGGCGGAGGTAAGACCGTGCGCCTCGGCACGCTCGACTCGTCCTCCTCCTCCTCCCCCTCCTCCTCCTCCTCCTCCCCCTCCTCCTCCTCCTCCTCCTCCTCCTCCTCCTCCTCCTCCTCCTCCTCCTCCTCCTCCTCCTCCTCCTCCTCCTCCTCCTCCTCCTCCTCCTCGTCCTTCTCTTACCCCATACTCATCCCCCCCTGCTCTTCAAGGATGCTGCGTGGGTAGGCAGGATATTCCTTTCCACGCTCGCCTCGCAATCCTCGTCCTCGCCCTGTTCTCCCCCCCCCCTCCGGCTGATCCTCGCTCACGGGCGCGGCAGCGGCTGCGGGGAGGGCTCGAGGGCCGTCAGACTCTTCACCCTTGTGAAACCCCAAAACGCCGTGACTGGAATCCCAGAGAGATTCGATGGGTGGCCAAAATGAGCCCCCCCCTCATCCTGGATAATCCTGATCGCCTCACGGTCAGGGGGAGTGAAGCCTGCCACGGCCATCACCGGGAGGGGTGAGGGGGGGGGGGGGCAACGTTTGTCGGGGACGCCAGTGGTGTGTAAATTTGTTTCGGGGCGTTCTAGATGATAAAAGGCAGGATACAGCATAAACAACGAGGACAACACCACATTCATCTGGGGGGCCTCTCGTGGGTCATCACACAGGCCTGCACCCCACGAAGTAGTACCAGTGGCCCTCGGCCCATCTCGCCACCTTGCCTGGTTTGTGAGCCAGATCTTTGGTTAAAGTGTCTTGGGCCCCCTTTGGGGAACATAGTACATTACCTCTAGGGTTTCGAGGGGCTCCTTGCACCGATTTTGTGGGATTTATTGAGCCGTCGTGGACGACCTTCTCTGAAATCTTCAAGTCGACAATGTACGAATCAAGCTGGTTTCACTGCGTTCAACTGTTTGCGCTTCGCGGTTCACCCAGATGTCACGTTGGAATGTCGAGAATATGAGAAGGCAACGATCATGAAAAAACGTCTGGGCTTTTACGCTATGTTGAGACACTGGATGGCGCGAAAATACGAGAACAGAATCATGGAAATCATCGAGACGTGAGTGCTATGCTGAAGGCATGGGGGGCTTCTGAGAGCACCGTGGGGGAACAATTGGGTAGTGGACAAAAGGCTTCTTAGAGGCCTCTCAGTGTTTCTTGAAAGGCCTATTGGATACCTCTTTGGAGCCTCCCTGGGGCTTTCGGGGGCCTCTTGGGGGTCTGGAGGCGGTCTCGGGGGCCACCGTTGGGGTGTAGGTCAACGAAGCGGCCCTTTCGAGGCCCCTCTATTGGGCTTCTTGCAGGGCCCCCAAGAGTTCCAAACGGTGGCTGCACTAAGAGGCTATTGCTTCTTGTCTGCGTTGCTGAGTAAGTGGCTGGCTTCTGTGGTTTCCCCCCTGGTGCCTTGCTGTCGCCGCCTCGCCGCCGCTTCCACGGGTGCCGGCCGGGTTTGCCAGGGTGCTGGCCGGTGTGCGCCCGTCGCCACACGCATGTTGGCACGGATTGTACCACATTGGTTACACCACATGGCTTGCATCACATGGCGTGCATCACTTACGTTTCACCACATGCACACCACAGAGCGTGCACCGCGTAGCTTGCACCACATGGCGTGCATCACCTACGTTTCACCACATGCACACCACAGAGCGTGCACCACGCAGCTTGCACCACATGGCGTACATCACCTACGTTTCACCACATGCACACCACAGAGCGTGCACCACGTAGCTTGCATCACCAACGTTTCACCACATGTGCACCTTAAAGCGTGCACCACATAGCTTGCACCACCTAACTTGCATCACCTACGTTTCACCACATGCACACCACAGAGCGTGAACCACGTAGCTAGCACCACAGAGACTGCACCACATAGCCCTCACTTCCAGAGTGCAAGAGCTCATTGTTTAGGGTCCACGCCAGCAATCAGTTGGATCTCTTAGGCCATCTCCGTAAGCTTCTAAGACGGCCCAAGAGGCCCCCCAGGAGGGCCCCAGAACGATTCCTTGGGACTACCGAGGGGTCCTCAGCCGTTTTGAGCGTGTCTTGGCAAACCATTGGGGGATGTTGGGGTCGGTTCGGGCGGGTTAGACTTCTGGGAGGATCACGCTGGAAACGCCCAAGAGCGCCCAGGAAGTTTGGCAAATTCGTGGTCCGGGCTTTTAATCCAGCTGCCTGCGGCAAACCCGCCACCGTGCCTGTGCAACAACGCAGCAGGAAGTAGGCTGAGAGTAGGAACAGCGCAATTCCGACGAGTAGTCCGCATTGGGACAGGTCGTGATCCCGACCTCGTCTTCGTCCGCGCGGTAGGGAAGAGGAGGAGAAGGAGGAGGAGAGGGAGAGGGAGGGGGAAAAAATGAGGAGGAGGAGGAAAGTCTTTGGGGTCTTCTTGGGGCCTCCTGGGGGCCTCCTGGGAGCTTCCTGGAAGCTTCTTGGAGGCCTCTTGGGGGCCTGGGGTCTCTGGGGCCGCCTTGGGGGCCTCTCTAAGCCGTGCTGGTGCCCTCTTAGAGCGGTTCACGGACGTCTTGAGGCCTTCTTAGGAGCCTTTTGCGCGATGTGTTTACCATTTTGGGTCGATTTGGGGGTCTCTTGGGCTGTCTTGAAGGTATATTGGAGGCCTCTCGCATACCTCTTGGGCCGTCATAGGCGGTCGGAAACCCAAAAAGACGAGAACCTCAAAGTCCTGCAAACGCCTAAGGGAAACTAATGGTGTTGGCCCCTTCGGGCTCTCCAGGAGGGCCTCTTGGAGACCTTTTGGGCCATCTTGGAGGTTTCTTGATCTGCCTTGAGGCTGTCTTGGGAGCCGTCGTGGGTCATCTTAGCGTGTTCTTGGCTGCCTTGGAAGCCGTCTTGGAAGCCATGAGGCTCCCAAGAAGGCCTCAAGACAGATCGAGAGGCCCCCAAGACGGCCCACAAGGTCTCCAAGAGGCTCTCCAGAAGAGCCCGAGGAGGCTAAAACCATATATATATATATATATATATATATATACATATATATGGGTTATGAAAGGATTCTGAGGTTCTGGCATGTTTGGGTTTCTGACCGCCCAAGACAGCCTAAGAGGCCTCTCTGCGCTTCAAGGCCGCCTTGGGGCCCTCTTGGGAGTCCCTTGGGCGATCCTTCAAAATCCTCTTGGGCAGACTTTGGGCCGTTTTGGGGTCCTCTTGGGCTGCCTTGAAGCTATCTTGGATGCCTCTTGGAGACCTCTTGGGCCGTCTTGGGCGGTCGGAAACCCGAACAGACGAGAACCTCAAAATCCGTCAAACGCCGAAGGAAAATCAATGGTTTTGCTCCCTCAGGCTCTCCAGGAGGGCCTCTTGGAGCCCTCTTGGGCCGTCTCGGAGGCCTCTTGGGCCGTCGTGGGGCTGTCGTGAGAGGCTGTTGTCCTGTCTTGGGCCATCTTGGGCCGTTTTGGTGTCGTCTTGGCTGTCTTGGAAGCCGTCTTGGAGGCCATCCTGGCCGTCTGGAGGCCGAAAAGAGCGAGCAACTTCAGGGGGGGGGATGTTTGAACCCCGCGTGCGAACCTGGGGGGGGTCGGCTCGGCCCTAGAAAACATTCAAAGCCTTCCCAGAGGGACCACAGGAGCATTCTAACACGCCCACTCCGCGCAGGCACGGCGGCGGAGAACTTACAAGACCTTGTAACATTCACAACGATCTGGGCTTTGAGGCACTCCACTAAGATCGGAAGGCACGATGGCGGACTAAGAAGCTGGATACACATGAGTGAGAAGTTGGAGACACATGACGCAATTGGTTTGGGCAGTTGATGGATACACATGATGCCGCAGATCTGTCCAGCGCCCGGCCGTCGCATGGTCAAGTACGACGCCCCCTTCCCCGTGTGTATCCAGCACATGGCTCTCGCATCCTCCCATGGTGAACGCAGCCGTGCATGTGTGTTTGTTTGTTGCCAGCTTGCTGGTAGATCGTGCACTCTCCGGGTGGTGGTGGTGGTGGTGGTGGTGGTGGTGGTGGTGGTGGTGGTGGTGGTCGTGGTGGTGGTGGTGGTGGTGGTGGTGGTGGTGGTGGTGGTGGTGGTGGTGGTGGTGGTGGGCTTCTTTCTCCTCATCGTAAGCTAAGCGTTGGAGAATGATGTTTCGCATTTCTCGCGCGCTGACCTGACGGCACGGTCCGTCCCGCTTGTGGTCTTCTCGTGAACATTGACCACCAGAGGAAAGGAGGAACAGGGGACGGAGGAGGTGAAGGGGGGGAGAGAGGAATAGAGAGGATGAGGCGGAGGGGGAGAGGAGGAGGTGAAGCGGAAGGGGGGGATAATAATGATAATAATAATAACAGTAATAAGAAGAAGACGAAGAAGAAGACGAAGAAGAAGAAGAAGGGGTCCGCCATCCTTCAAAAGGAGGGGGGAGGAGCTGTCTGCAAGCGCCAAGGCAGCCCACGCGCGTGGCTTCAAAACAACAACATCAGCACTCCAGCGGGCCTTGCAAGCCTAAAGCAGAGTCGGGGGCCTCGGGGGAAGGCACCAAAAACTCCAAGACCTCCTGTACTCACTTTGGGCAGCTCGCACGGCATCAGCTGGAGCCGCGCGCGAAGGATACAAACCATGCACCGAACGCTGCAGCTTCTCGCGGCCCTTCTTACCAGCAAGCTGGATGCACATGGCACGGCCTGCCCAGGCAAGAGCTCCGCTCCATGCACGTGTGGCCAGCTGTCCCTCCAGCGCTCGGCCCTTCTTGTAGCCGTGTAGGCCAGGCTTTCGCACTCCTCCTTCTCCTCCTCCTCCTGTTCCTCCTCCTCCTCCAGCGCGCAACCTCCACGTGTCCCACATACGAATCCAGCCACGTGTGCGTCCAGCTTCCCTGTAGCGACCTCCTTGCAAGCACTAGCCACCACCTGCCATGCACGTCGGCTGTGAAAGCGCAGCGAGAGCGCAACCTCGAGAGCGTGTTGAGGTCAGTCGTGGAGGCCGTGGCTGCTGTGGAGGGCTACGCCCCCCAAACTCGGGCAAAGAGCCTCTGAGAGGGTCAGAGCGGTCTCACCTGAGAGGGTCAGGCGGCGGAAGGACCAGTGCCTCAGCCGAAAGCAGCACACTGGCCGGAAGAGGTCATCTGAAACAGAGGGGGGTTGGAGTCGGCTAACGGTCTAAGATGGCCCAGCGCTGGTTCCGGCCAGCAGGAAGGGGGGGGCAGAGGCTCGTCAAAGACGGATCCGGGGTGAAAAATTGCACCAGATGGACCCCTGGAGGGGTCCGGGGAGCGATTTTGAGCGGAATTGGCATCATCCCCCATCCTGACAAAGTTTTTGGGGTTCCAGCCAGTTCAGACCCCCCGCGTCACCCGAATGCATCACAGGCCAGAAGAAGCCGTCGGACGCAGAGTGGGGACAGCACCGTTACAAAGCCGAGAGGCGCTGCCCTGTTGCTTACATCTGATGCACTTCCAACGGCCTACATCCACAGGCTTGTTGGCATCCGGGGCCGCAGTTGATCAGAAAGTGCTACGGCATTTTTTACCCTCGGCGGCCTGCGATATTGCCGCGGCAGTCGAGTGTGTAAATCATCGTGCGGCACGCGCGAGCTTGCGGGCGGGGGCACCAGCCCGTACTTTTTGCGAAATCCCCACACACACACACACACACATCGGCGCACGGGTTGCCGTTCGACAGGAAGATCTGAGAGGAGTGTGGGTCATGTCAGGCTCATGCCTTAAGCGAGAGGGGGCCCAGATCACATCAGCGTGTAAGGCCACGCTTGGCACAGGCGTGCGAAGTCCTGGAGATCTCCATTGGGTACCATCGGAAGACGAGCCCTCTCAGCGTGCCATCCGTTCAAGACCTATAGGAAATCACACACACACACACACACGACGGGCCCCGTCGAATGCTCAAGATCCCAGCACACGCCAGGCGCTGGGGTGCACGCTCCTTTGGACCGTGAAAGAAAAAAAGAGAAGTGCTCGCCCCCCGAGCCATGCAGAAAGAGGTGGAACGGGAGGAGAGAGACGGTGGTCCAAGACACGCGCCCTCTCTCCAGGGAGACGTCATGGCCGTGGTCCGACGTCTGCACAAACCTGGGCACCGCGAGGCCCCCCCGAGCCATCCAGAAAGAGGTGGAAAAGGGATGGGAGACGGTGGTCCAAGACGCGCCCTCTCTCCAGGGAAACGTCATGGCCGTGGCCCGACGTCTGCACAAAAACCTGGGCACCGCGAGGCCCCCGCGCGGCACACCCCCCGGAGCCCCGACAGCCAGAAGCCGGGCTCCTATGCTCGGCCGAGGCCGGAGCAGAGCTCGGGGGACCGAACAAAAGGTGCACGGCTGCGTGCTCGCAGTGCTCCGCTGGGCCTGGGGCGCGCGTGTGGAGGCGCCCCGCCCGTGCTGACTCGCGGCCGTGGTGTCGCATCGCCGGCGAGTGGTGCCTAATACTAGTACTACTACTACTACTACTACTACTACTACTACTACTACTACTACTACTACTACTACTACTACTACTACTACGACTACTACTACTACTACTACTACTACTACTACTACTACTACTACTACTACTACTACTACTACTACTACTACTACTACTACGACTACTACTACTACTACTACTACTACTACTACTACTACTACTACTACTACTCGGCTTTTCTGCAACAGTCTGCCTCCTGGCTCGCTTCCAGGAGTCCAGTCTTGCCAGAGCGCGTCACGGGGAAGCGAGTGTTGCCGGCATCCCCACTGACAGGTGCTCCGCCGGATTGGACTCTCTGGCGCGTCAGGGGACAAGTCGCTGATGCCTGCAGCGCTTGCAACACCGCCAAATCTTGTTCGGCGGCGCGCCGGCAGACGGGATGATGGGGTAGGGGAGGAGGAGGAGAAGGAGGAGGAGGAGGAGGACGACGACGACGACGAGGAGGGGGAGCAGGAGGAGAAGGACGATGAGGAGGAGGAAGGGGGGCAGGCGTCCTCAGAAGGCGGCGGGGCTTCTCGGAAGTCCTCCGGCGTTCTGGGCAGCCCCTGGTGGCCTCGGAGAGGCAGGCCTGCGCCCCAGGGCGCGCCGCGCCGACATTGTGGCACAGAGGCTCCCGGGGGCGCCTCTCGGCGCTGGCAGCGGGGCTCGCACTCGCAGCGCCTGCAGCGATCTAGCGATTGCATGGCCGCTCGCCGCCCGCGGCCACGGCCAGCGCAGCTCGCCAAAGGTACCCGTCCGGAGGCGGCCCCGTCGGGGCCTGGCCAGCGGCCACCGTCTCCGCAGGCAGCTCCCGGCCGCGCGGCCACTGGAGCCGGGAGCCCCGCGTGAGCCTTGGGGCCGCGGTGCGGGGGGCCAGGGCCTCCCACGTGGGCATCGCGATGGAGTGGTGCCTCTTCTGTTCGTTCTCCCATTTGGCTCTCAATATGTAAAAGCTGTTCTATGGCTCAAGCGATTTCAGGGACCGTGCTTGCCCACGCGACGCTCACAGCAAGGACGGTGGTCGCCGCCATAGCCTGGATTGAATCATCGCAGACAGTGACTCTCTCTCTCTCTCTCTCTTTCCATCTCTCTCTCTCTCTCTCTCTCGGCAGACAACGGGTCGCAAGTGTGTGCTCTACTCGGGGGGGAGAGTCACGGTGACGAGCGTTTGATGAGCTTGTCGCGCCGTTGGTTTTGGGCCACACGAGAGAGAGATTCTCTCCACCACGATGTTGGGCCGAGACTCGCCACTGCACGCGCACACCGTCGCCCACGAAGTCGCCCAGGAGGTCCCCGAGCTCGGCAAGGACGGTGCGATCGAACCCTTCGTCGCCGATCTTCGGCTCCTCAGGGGCGTGAGGCCTACGTAATCTCGTCCACTTCTGAGGAGGTATTGGATCCCAGCCGACCTGCGAGAGGGCCCCCTGCAACGAGACCAGATTAATTCGGCCTGCCCGAGCCACCTCCGTACCAAGCGCCATGAACGGCGAATGCGAGAGTGAAGAGTTGGGCGAGGCAGACCTTAATTCTTGACGCTTCACGTATCCCCACCAGCTGGCCTTCTGGCCTTTCCCCCCGCCCCGCAGCTCGGTCGGGACTCTCCTCCACCGCTGCCCCTCGGCACCACTCGGTGTCTCGCCATCCGGATTTTCCGATGAGCGCCCGCATGGATTGCCCTTTCTCCGTGTCGGGGGTCGCCGCCTTGCGCTGCATTCTGGCGTTGTCCACGGCGCGCTGTTCGTCTTGTTGGCGCGGTCTTCTTCATCTGGGACGTGGGCTTCCTGAATTACCTCCGGGTGTTCCACGTCGCCCAGAAGTTCCTCTTGGTGCTTGCACTCTTCTGGGCGGCAGTGAGGTTCGCCTCCTGTGTGTCTCTCCTGCTCGTTTGTGTTTTTTGCTGTTCGCCTTCCTCTTCCGCTGCGCTAATTTAGGCCGCTGCTAGTTTGTAATTCCCTGGACGCCTCCCGACCCTTCTTCGCCGCGGCCGCGATCAAAACAAATTCCCACCAGCCCATCCAAACACGATCCGAGGCTTTCTTGAAGCCTCTTGAAAGCTATGTTGAGCCATGCTCGGCTAGAGGCTGTTGGAGGCTGCCTTGAGCCATGCTCACCTATCTTGGGCCATCTTGAGGCTGCCTTGAGGCCTCTTGGAGTTATGTCAGAGGCTGTGTTGAGCCATGCTCAACCTCCTGGGACCATCTTGGGGGTACGAGGAGGAAGAGGTGGAGGAGGAAAAAGAGATAAGGAGGACGAGAGGGAATAAGAGGACGAGGGGGGATGCGGCACGAGGAAGACGAGGCGGAGGAGGGGGGAGGAGGCAGGAAAAGAGGAGAGAAGGAACGGACGATGGCCAGGAAGATGAGAATTTGGGTTTTGAAGACATGTTGTTGTGAGAGGTTATTGAAGGACGACCAAGGCCATCTTAGTTAGGGGCTCTCTTGGGGTCCCCGTGGGGCCTCGTGGGCACTCTTGGGGCCCTCTTGGGGCTCGTGTTGGGGGTCTTGGGGTCCTCTTTGGGCTCATTGGAGGGGTCATGGGGTTCATTGGAGGGCCCATGGTTCGAGAAGAGGGTGGTATACCCCCCCCCCTTTTTCGGAGATTCGAAAATTGCATATCGGGGCCCTCCGGGGCCGCTCTTGGGCGTGTCTTGGGCGCTCTTAGGGTTGTTTTGGGCGCTCTTGCGTCCCTCTCGGGTCTCTCGTGGGCCATATCGAAGCTATACTGAGGCTCCAAAAGCCCATCGGAAGCGGAAGCGCGAGAATGCAAAAACGCGGATGTTCCTTA